TTATTAGCGCTCGTATTTTAATTTGAAAGGAGTTATACCACCATAAACATGAGTTGTCATTTTGTAACCTCTATTACAAGACAGGATCTAAATAAACTAAACGTCAGTATTGAACGTCATATTAATTTAATAAAATGTTCAAAATATTTTTGAACTACAAATATGAAAAAGGTGAAAAAGATGTACTGTTATACATATGGTAATATTTGTAACTTAATCCTAATTCTAGGCGGGGTAATTTGTGGATGTAATGTCCGCGACCCAGATATTACCTGGTAAAAACAGTTTTGTTTTCGATTGTTTCAGATAATTTTCTGATAAATCTCTGCAATATGACTTAATATTAAATGCCACATATATTCTCGCGCATCCGGGCAAGGATGGATGCATTGGACAAGAATATATTCATTCTGTGGGTGAGATTGAATTTTGGTAGGATGGTATATAGCATAATCTACCATTTCAAACGTATGTAAACTTTTTTATATTTATAGAATAAATTATGGACAACATAATAAAATTATAATCTAAAATACTCAAAATTATAATAACTAATTGAAAATACACAAAAAAAAAAAATACTAAAGCAGCCGTAACGTTTATGTTCACTGACATATTAGCGATTAAAGGTGATATGCGAGATTAAGTGTTAGGCAAAATAATACTGAGTTATCCGAATTGAATTTAAAAAATCATTTAAGAAGTTACCCAAGAGTATTACTTATATTGTGTACATTTTTGTTAAAATTTTATATACATGTAATGAAATAACAATTTAATCTTTTCAAGATAAAAAAAAAATCTTGTTTTCAAGCTTTCTGTTTCGCAGAGTATCAATAACTTCATCAAAGTTTAAAGATCGGACCAAAGAATTTTTAACAGACAGATTAGTTACTTAATCTGTCTTGTTCCATTGATTTTCTTAAAAAAAAAATGTCCATCAATTTTAGTATAGAAAATGATCTTTTAGCACTAGCTGCAGTCATAAAGTGCATACTTTAGGAGAGCTGCACGATATATAATAATTTTTTGTTATTAATAAGTAAGCATGTTCTATAATACACGAAGCCTTTTCAGTTTTTTTCTCAGAAACTGGACCATACCAAAAAAAATTTCTAAGCAAAATATTCAGATATGTCTTCAATAAATATACAAAGTTTAGAGCTTTTTAAAAAAGATCAGTTCAGTCAAATTTTGCAAAGTGGCAAGTTGTAATACACTAAAATTGTAAACAATTACTTTTTTTGGAAGGAAACACATTTTTGGTTAAATTATAATGATGTCCAATACTCAATATAGTATGTTCTTTTTAAATATTTTTTGGATCTTGAACACGCTCATCTTCAAAATACGTCAAAACGAAGTTTCGCATTTCTCTGAAATGCTTTAGTTGATGGACCATTTTTCTGCTCCACTGTTTCCTTACTGCCTTAAATTTTCAAATTCATATTAATAACTTTCCAAAGCTTTGAGACAGAAATAAATTTTTAAAATCTTTAAGGCATTTGAAAAACTGATGGCTTTAGACTCAAGGGCTTTAGAGGTTGTATCGATTGTTTGCTGAATTTTGAAGTGTCCTTTTCAATTTCACAAATTGCAACTACTGAACGTAGATTTATATCAGAATCAAAATTTTTTTTCATAAGTTTTGTTTAAAACCTTTTAACTAGTATATAATTCATTTCATAATCAATGCAGTTGCGTAGCAACAAAGAACTTTTTAATTTTACATACAAGAACTTTTTTCAAATTTAGGTTTATTTATTTATAGCCTTCTTCTAACAGCAAGCTCATGATGTACATGATGTTGTCTGGTCAAAATAAACATTTCATTTTACAATAATTCGCGCAGAGCTGGAAGTCGGTATAGACCTTGGGGACATTATTACAAATGAAATTTTAAAAGCTCCCACCATTTCACACCTGCAAAAAAAAGTTGTTTAAGATCAAAGGTAAAAAAATTTGTCCTTTATACATTTTTTTTTCCGTCTAAAAATCACTATTCCTGAGATTTTGTGATTCTAATAATTAAGAAGTCATACTTGAACTTAATATCATACTCGATACGAGTGTTGACTAGCAGAAGACGATGTTGGAGGAAGATAAGATAGTTGCACTCTTTTATTGTTCCATGTATTTTTTACAAAACTTAAAAATCTATACTTGTCTAAACTTTTTTTTGGAGATTTATATAGAGCACAAGAAAACGAACCCCGTTTGTAATGATGTCTTCTATTAAAAAGTCGATCTATTCATGGCGCAATTAAATTTTTTTTTTCATTTAATTTAAATATGTTATTTTACCTTGCTAATTTAATTTAGATGCCCAAAGAAGTCCTTACGGTCTTATCACAAGTTCACGCCTCCTTCGTAACCGATGTCACAAAACTTGCCTAGAGGTGGGGTTTGAACCACGGATCCTTTGCTTCTAAGGCAAGTGCGCTACCACTGCGCCACGGCTGCTAATTGGAGTTCGTGCAGTCATTAATTTTAATAATTCCACATCTTCACCAACAATGGTAGTTGTATTTTTTGTATTGGATTGTTTTATGATAGTTTCAATTATGAGAACATCAGCACCATTATAAGCTTGCTTCCCTATAACATATTCAGCTGTAAATTATTTGCATAACATAAAAATGAAGCAAGACTTTTTGTGACTATTGTCAGAGAAATTTTTTGTACCGTCGTATATTGATCAAAAATGATATCAGAAGATGAAGATGTTTTTGATGATGTAAATAGCATTATTGTTATCGATTTCAATGTTCTCTAAAAAGCCAACCCCAACGCATGTGTTGTTGTTATGTGTATATTCTCACAATCACATGGTTTTCATATATAAGTTACACAAAGCAATTATAAATACAGTATTTTCCGATGAGTATTGGCGGTTCACCGTATATATTATTATTTTAAGTGCATTAGAATCCCAGCAGGTACATTTTTTTTTTTTTTAATTTTATTCTTTATTACATTAAAATTTTTATACAAATATATAGAAAGTAAAAAAGTTTACAATTGAAGATTATGTTAAAGTAATGATAGAAATTAAATAAAAATAAAGAACGAGGAAACTCAAAGAAGAATCGCTAAAGTTAGACGAGTCAATAAAAGTTGATGTCAACTCATACAAATAGTTTCTTGGTAATAAAAATAGTATTTGAAGTTGTCCTTAAATTAACTTGAAATATGGTAGACTTCACTAGAATCAGGATTTTTTGTATTTTTTTTTTCCTACTTCTTCCTTTCAGGATATCACAATTGTTTTGACGAATTTTTCATTTTTCTTTAAAATTGATATTTTCTTCTACCATTGTAAAACACTTCTGGAAATACGTTATTGAATAAATTAAGTCATTCCTTTTTTTTTTAAGTATACCATGATTGTCTTTTTTGAATATTATTTAATATCACGATTGTCTCGTCGAATTTTTAATTAAAATGATTTTTATTGTCACATGATAAATATTTTCCATTTGGTGTTTTGTAAAAGTTCTCCTTTGACCCACGTGTGGCAACTTTGAACGATTTCAGCTTTCTTTAGGCAAGTAGATTAGTTTTGAAGGTCATAATAGTCACTTACGTGTATGTACATACATAACATTATACGTGCATATATTTATTATATATATATTTACGATCTAATGTTAATACGATCACACAACGGTGTGCCTGTTAGGATCCCAATATCTCAGGAATAGTGTTTTTTACTACGGGAGATCGGTGAAGGCGTTTATTTTATATGTGATAACGTCATTAAGATACCAACTTAAATAAACTAATCATCATAACATCATTAACCAAATATTATTAGCTAAGCCTCTAAAAAACAACTCTTACTTGTAATTTGTCTATAATAAATTCAAAAAGCCACAATTCGATTTTCATATGGTGATTATGCGACTATTTGGTACCATATTCTCTTAATTGTCAGTATCAAAGCAACACTGATGGCATCGACATTAGTATATAAGCGATATTACACGACTTCTTCATTTTCATTTAATTTTCGGTATCGATTTACTAATAGTTTAATAATAGCTGAATTAGATTTTACACTATAAATTCTGAACCATAGGTTAGATATCGACTATATCCAGATAAGCCACAACTGCAATGAAGAAGGCGTGAAAAAAAGGCAAAAAATAGAAGCTCGAACTTTAAAAAATTGAATTTTTTGAAATAAAAGATACTAAAGTGGGATCAAAAGTACTTTTTTTAAAAAAAATTCTACTGTTGCACTCTTAGGTTTGTTCTGTATAATAAAATAACACTGGATTTTTTTCGGATAGTAATAGGAAGCCGTTAAATGTTCAAGCGTTGGTTGGGACATCTAAAAATATATTGTATTTTTTTTTAATCGAGCGTTATTTTATTAAATAGATCAAATTAGGGGTTGCAAGAGGAGAAATTATCAAAAAAAGTAATTTTCAGCCCAGCCTACTGGACACTTAAAAAGCACCCTAGTAATTTCGTCAAATAAATTTTTTGGCATGAACTTTCTTTGCGCAAAATAGTCAGACGAAATATTGTCCACGTTGAGTTATCTATACTTTTATATTTTTTTAAGATGTAATTTATTTCATAATTTATTACGCTGTATAACGAGTAAAACGAGAATAACAGTGACAAAGAGTTATGAACGCTTTAAGCAGATGTCTGCTAAAAAGCAAAATTTTTAAATTGAAAAAAAATAGTGTTTTTTTAAAAGAATTTAGTCCAGAAATATTAACTAATATAGTTAGATGTAAGGTTTTTTAAGAAAAAATTATACTTTTATTATTTATTTTACTCCTTACAAAAAATGTTTGTATTAAATTGAAATTTAATTTACTACATAATAGTTTAGAACTTAAAACCAAACTTTAAAGAATATTTTTTTTGTGAATTTTATTTAAGAAAATTGTTTATATTACATCTTTGAAAATTCAATTACATTTTAATTTATTTTAAATCGAGTGGAATTTTACTTCATTAAATTGTAGGAAAAACAATCGTTGACAGTTTGGTTAAATTTATTGCATTAAGACAAATTTACAATTTAAATAATTTAGTTAATAACTTAATTTTTTCGAAAAATAATTGTTTCGACATATGTACACTAAACAAAATTTAAAAAAATAACCATTTGACTAATAAAAAAACAACAAAAACCCTGGTTATAAGATTAGATTTTACTGGCTTTTAGCTAAATATGAAGATATTGTGTATATGTTCATGAAAATATTATTTCAAGAGTAAGTATATGACCATAAAAATATTATTTCAAGAGTAAACAAAAATCAAAAAATAAATTAAGAATCCAAAATATTCAGTAAAGACAGTTGAAAGAAGATTCGCAAAACAAAGTAAGCAATAACCAATTATCTCAATTGACTGTCCTCTTCAGAAGGTGAAAGAAGAGTTTTAAGTTCAGCGTCTCCATCTTCATATGAAACGTTTTCATCGTTCCAAGCTTGTTTTTCGCCAGATACAAATATGGCGTAGAAGACCATTCCTACAGCATAAACTCCAGTCGATATAAAAAATACGACACGCCACTCTTCTTGAGTCTACAAATTGAAATTTTAAAGCACAAAATTAAAAACAAGACACCAGGGTCTTCTAAGCATCATATATGCAATTACTCGCATAATTGCTAGCATCACTTCAAAGTTGTTTTATTACTAGCTTAATGTAGCTTATACTCTTTGTTTTTATTATTTCTAAAAGTTGATAATAATTTTACCTGCAAAAACTGGACTCAACAAATAAAAAAAACATTTGGTGTAGGTTTGAAATGCGTTAAAAATTACAAAAAATAAACAAACAAAAAACATTTAGCGACTAAATAACAATCTGAAACGTTTTTTCAGGGGTATCGAATCTATTACGTAAATAAAATTTAAAATTTGAGCATCCAAACTCACCAGATTACCACTTTTAGTAAGTAAATTTGACCGATTTAATGGGGAGTGTAATGGAACTTTTTTAATGTTAAATATTATTATAAAGGTCTTCTCAGTCAAAAAATTTAGTTTACTTAAACTGATTTATCTACTCAGGCCAACTGGATTTGATCACTTAAAGCAAGAAAATTGCTGCTGTAACTGTATTAGCAAAGTTATACATCAAATTATAAGTTTTTAATGGCAAGGAATTCATTTTTGAAGCCCCTCCTGACCACACTGAACTAGCTACCAGCCAGCTAGGGTTTATTTGAAATTCAACTCCTTTTAAATAAAACAACGGTAGTTTTTTTTAAAAAAAAGGTGTTTGCAATAAAAGTGAGAAATTACACTTTTAGACGAGTAGATTAAAAATCATAAATAAATTTTAAAATTAATTCCAATTATTTTGCTAGCAAAAAAAGTATAAAGTTCAAAAGAAAACTGCCAGTCCTATTTGTAGTCGCAGATCAGAAAAAAAACAAGGTTGAAAATTGCTATGAAAAAAACTTAAATGAAATCAAAAGTGAATTATAATGGATAATAAAATCTATTTCAAACTCAACCATTAAATGCTTCTAGGCCAGCAATTTTATACAAAAGGAACAATACATGACATTTTGCTTTAAAAAAAGAAAAAAACAACAAAATATTTGGCAAGAAAATTATGGTTTGGCAAGACATCTGTTCATGTAGTTTTAAAACTCAGCCATTTTTTATGAAAAAAAACACGAACTCCGAAGTTTACCAGTACTACCAGGGACGTGGTGGTAATAATGATAAAACCAGTTTGGTTAAAACCAGTTTGGTTAAAAATTGATAAAACCAGTTAATGGTGATAATGATAAAACCAGTTTCAAAATATTGCTCCGCAATACCGTTAGAAAATGGACAATTTTCATTGTAAATTTTAATTTACATTTATCATTGCAATTGTAAGACATTACCTATAAACAATATAAAAGAAATTTGGCTTTCAATAAATAAAATTTTATACTGTAGTATAGTGAAACTCAAGACTTTAATTGAAATAATATTGTTTTTCATCATGTATAAATATTGCTTTAAAATTCAAGTTTTAAGTCCATACAGTGCAGAGCGAAATAATTTATAATATAACTGTAAAATAGAACCAGATAAGTGTTGAATTCTAACTAGAACATCAAGCAAGACAGATGTCAATATGTATTTAGATAATATAGTTGAACTAAAGCAACAAATTTATTTAACAATATCTAAATAATAAATCAAATAATGCAAATATAAATAAACTAATACTAACTTCATTAGTTGTAATATATCCAACTAAAATTGGCGTGAACATTCCTGGAAAAGTGGCAATGCAGTTACTGATACCAAATAAAATGCTGGCATAACGTGGAGCAATATCTAAATGATTAACAGGAAAACCAGTCCAGGTAAGACCTCCTAAACCGACTGCTAATGTTAAGCCAATTATTGCTAACTGCTTGTTTGTTGTGTAACCAACAACGATAAGAAAAATGGCTTGAGAAAAGAAACCTAAAACAAAAATTTTTACACAGGCATGATAATTCAGTGAAAGGATTACACTAGTCTACAAAATCTTTTTTTCTGACTTTGTTTTTGGTTATGAAAACATTGTGATCAAAACATAACTACCAACAAAGTGTAAAAAAAAAAATGTCTACAATTACTTTTTTTATGCATCAAAGTAAACAGGTATTTAGTAAAGGTTAAAAAAAAGTATACTAAAAGTCAAAATTATAGTGTAAAAATTTGTTTTTGCAATTTTCTTGAATAGAAATCTGGTGTGAGGCACTTCTAATCCACAAGTTCTAATCCCAGCAGTCTGTAATCAACTTGATATCCCATATTTCTCAGTACAGTTCCTCCATTACTTTAATGTCCCGATAAATATTTTGCTTTATTTACTCCTGACACCACCTAATTTATTAAGAAAATAATCCAAATGACTGTGAAAGAGGAATATTTTTATTATTATGTTTGGTTGAAAAATATTAAAATTAACAAGTTCATTTTGGTTAACAACTTTCTATTTATCAAGAAAGTCTTACTCCACTTCTACAAATAAAGATAATGAAGCTAACATAATTATTGTTCATTGATAGATAAAAATTTGCATCTTTAATTAACTGAATTTATCAAAAATTCTTAAACCTGAAAACGATTTGCAATGGTACTGAAAACAATTATTCTAATTATATAATATTAGACCCATCAATAATTTGCCTACAGGGGAATATTATCCAAAATCTAGTATAAGGACTTTCATCAAACTGTTTCATAATTTAAAGTGGAGAGGAGAAAATATTAAGAAGTAATGCAAATTGAGCTACTATATTACCGTATAAATATGCACTACTATACTCAGTTCAGTTTGCGACAGCCAACCTTTTTTAATCCAATGATTTGCACTATTTTTGTTACCCAAGTAAAAGAACTATGACTATTTGGTAAAATCAGATTGTTTTCTGAGCAAGATGGTTAACTCATCTTTAAATACACGTATAAGGAACAGTCCATAAATAATGCTTTATAAATCAGGCTAGGATAGGAAGAGATATTTGTGAAAGAAAGAAAATTCTCTCAGAATGGTTATGATAGTCACACGCATATAAACCATTTGAGAAAAATCTGACTTTTAGTGACAACAAGGGCGAAAACTCAAAAAAGGTCATTGTAAATAATATGCTGTAACACATTATTGGTAGCGTTGTACTTCTTTTTAGGCGTTCTGGAATGTCTGTTGGGTACCAATGCATAAACATTAGTGTTGTGTAGCAGAACATATTTTAATTTCAAATTAGACCCATCAATAATTAGCCTACAGGGGAATATTATCCAAAATCTAGTATAAGGACAATTAAGTAATTGAGGTTCACTTGCTCATTAAAAAATCACACAATTTCTTTATAACATGTTTTATAAAAAGAAATTTTTGAACCTTGCTGTAGAAGTTTTCTATTTTTATGAGATGACAAGACTTGAACTGATTCTTTAGTCCCTAATAAAATCACTTAAATGTTCTTGGTTTAATAAAACTGATTGGTTAGAAAGCACACACCTGTAACCTTTACCACCTTTCATTGTCAGTCACTCCATCACTAAAATGTCTCTTGTTCTGATGATTCAACAGGGATAATCAGTAATCATCAGGGATAATCAGGTAAATCCTTGAACAAAGGGACAAAAAAAGTCATTTTGATGTATAGGGAGAACTGCTGATGAGAGATTTAGGCAGTTCAAAAACTTTTGTTTTTTAAAATTTTTTCAGCTATATTTATCAAACAAAAATAAAAATAAAATAAATAAAACATGATTTATTAGTTTTAAATCATTAGCAATGAAAATATCTTTGTGATTCTTAAAAAATTGTTTTAAAGGTTCATTAAGTTCATAAAGGAAAATATGATCTTCTGATTTAATCTCCCAAAATTACCTAGAAACAGGTCTTACATATCCAGCAACAAAAGTAATGTTTATTTAAATATCATAATATGCATAACACAATATATATCAATTAACTTAATCTTTTATAATTTTACATTTCTTTTATCAATTCGATAAATTTTTATTCATATTATAAAGCAACAACTTATATTGCCCATTTATAATATTATATTAAATTTTTTTAAATACCTATACTGTTGAATATTCTTCTAACTGCAGTTGTTCCTAAAATATTACGCCTTCGCAGAAAATCACCAAACCGCCCACCACATTGCACAACAATAACCATTGCCAAATATGGCAATGCTGAAATAACGCCAGCCTATATAGGGTGCAGATTATACACATGATTAAAAGATATCTAAGTATTAATTATCAGGTGGACAAGGAAAAATGCAGTCAACTTTAAATTGAGATTTCTCAAAAAAATCTACAGTCATAGATATATAGAAAATCTACAGTCATAAATATATAGAAAATCTACAGTCATAGATAAAAGAAAAATCTACAGTCATAGATATATAGAAAATTTACAGTCATAAATATATATAAAATCTACAGTCATAGATATATAGAAAATCTACAGTCATAGATATATAGAAAATCTGCAGTCATAGATATATAGAAAATCTACAATCATAGATATATAGAAAATCTACTGTCATAGATATATAGAAAATCTACTGTCATAGATATATAGAAAATCTACAGTCATAGATATATAGAAAATCTACAGTCATAGATATATAGAAAATCTACAGTCATAGATATATAGAAAATTTACAGTCATAGATATATAGAAAATCTACAGTCATAGATACTATAAATAAGTTCACGACTACTCAAAGCTTTGAAAGAAAACCTGGAAGAAAAAAAACTTTCCATAAATCCAAAAAGGTAAAGTCAATTTTACGTTCAATAGCAAGAAATCCGAACCAGTCACAGCATGATCTAGCAAGAAAATTCAAGATTTTGCATTCTTATATGGAAAAAGTAGTTAAAATGTGCATAATTATGTGCATAATTAAAAAAGACGAAACATATTGCAAAGCGGATTTTTCACAACTTCCTTGTCAACAAAGAAAAATTTGCATCCAAGTTCCTTGTGTGGCAAGGAATTTATAGCTGTGGTATGCAGTCCTCTTGTTTTGTCACTAAGAAGACCTTGAATGCCAATTTCTACATCAAGGAATACCTCCAAAAAAGACTTTTGCCATTTATGAAAAAACACAAAGATTGAAGTTTCTTTTGACCAAATCTTGCTGCTTCTAAATGTTCTAAAAAAGTTCTACAGTGGTGCAAAGATAATAATGTGAAAATTGTTCCTAAAGAGCGCAAGATTGAAGATTTTTGGGCAATAGTTAAAGGAGTTCTTTGTAAGACAGGTGGAGTAACAAAAAATTAAAAGGACTTTCAAAAAAAAGTGGATTAATGCCACCAATAAGGTGAAAAAGGAAAAAATCTAAGAAATGATAGCATCAACCCACTATAAAATTCTTTTGCCAAACAGCCCATTAAGTCCTTTAAAATTAAGTTGAAACTCTAATTGATGTAAAAACATTTAATAATAAAAAAAATTGAAGTAAAAAGCATTTATGGTTTTAGAGAAATCTCAATTTAAAGTTGACCAGATTTTTCAGTGTCTACTCGATATAAAAAATATAAAAGTAAAAATAATAAATGAAATAATAAATAGTTATTAAAAAAATTTTCTTGAAAAAAAGTCAAACATACTTCCTGAAGTGAAAACTTCATAATTTTTTTTAGATATGTGGGTAGCTGAGTTAAGAGGGTATACCACCCCCAATTTTCTGTGAAGTGTGCTACTATTATAGCCCAAACAGGTAACGAAGTAAAAATCATTTTCCATGGAGTCTTGACCAGCTTTAAAAAAATTAAAATTTTTTATAAATCTGAAGAGAATAAGATAAGAGATAACAGCTAACTAATATAAATAAATTACAATTGAATAAAATCAAACATTCTTAAAACAAAAATTATTTTTATAAAATTTAAATTATATTAGTTTCAGAAAAACTACAAAAACTTAATTAAGTTTTGTACTAAAAAAGACTTTGCTCAAGTTTTGTATTACAAAACTTAACCAAAGCCTTTTGTAGTAAAAAAATTAACTGCAGCCTTTTGTAGTAAAAAAATTAACTGCAGTCTTTTGCAGTAAAAAAATTAACTGCAGCCTTTGTAGTACGTAGTCTTTTGTACTAAAAAAAGTGAAACAAAATGATTCTCAAAAAAACTTATTTTACTGTATTTTAAATAATGAGGCAATTTTGGATAAACAAGACAAGAAAATAAGTGGTCTAATTAAAGTAATGAAAACAAAGATGTCAGAAAATGTTGAGATGATGAAGATGAAAAAAACTTATCTAAAACAAAAAAGAAATATTAAATAATAGAAACACCATATAAATGATGACACTAAATAAATTAATCATAAATCAAATTTAAAAATAAACAATGATAAGAATAAAAATTATCAAACTGATCATTACTTTTTTTGAAGTTTTATCTGCCTTTAAGCTGCTTAATATATATTCTAACTCATTTTCGGTAATCTTTGGGTGGTCTTCAGGTGAATCTGTGATTAATGTAAACCAAAAAAAACTCCATATAACACCCAGCAATCCTATAAATTAATTAGTTTAATTTTAGTTAATAAAAATAATTTTTTGTTAAAAATAAAAAATGCTCTCCATAGTTTTACTAAGCCTAGCCTTGTCATGACTCACCTTGCAATGAATGTATACCATGACTCACCTTGCAATGAATGTATAAACCTACAATAAGTGCTCGCATTTTATCAGGTGTTTACCCTCCCATAAGCGCTCACCATAAATTGAAATATTACCACTGTAAGATGCAAATATGCATGTAAAAATTTATATTTAAATAAATTTTAAAATACAAAAATTGAAAACATAAATAACTTCTTATGAACAATGGTAATCATGTGTAGTGTAACAAATTTAAAATACAGCTTTTCTATCATGTGGTGTAACAGCTGCAATTTCAACAAAAAGTGAATAAAAAAGAAATTTTTAAAAACTGTTTTTGATTTTTTTCAAATCTGTTTTTGTTTATGTGCATTTATCACATCTTTATCTTTAATTAATTTATAAAATTTTTACTGAAAATATAAACACAAATTATAAATATTATAAAATATTACAAATACACACACAAATATATATATATATATATATATATATATATATATATATATATATATATATATATATATATATATATATATATATTTATATATATATATATATATATATATATATATATATATATATATATATATATATATATATATATATATATATATATGTTAGTGTATATATATAAATAGATATATATGAATAATCGTTGTATTGACGTCACCCAAAAATTTATCAATGGAGTCAAAAAACATCCCTTCATGGACAAAAAAAAGGCAGCAGATGCAAAAAAGGTTAAAACCATTGACCTATCATATTCAACTACCAGTCAATAAAGCAGTCAACTATAAATCTAACAAAGTTTCAGATACACACCAAGCGTTAAACCCAAAATCATCACCTAATAAATTTTTAAGCTGTTTCTATACCAATGCTACATCTTTAAACCAAAACAAACTTCAAGAACTTTCACTAGCTGTCTCTAACTATAAATATGATATTATTTTTATCACAGAGACCTGGTTTAACAATTTTTCAACTCCATCTCTTTAGGGTTATAATATTTTCAGAAAAGACCAATCTACTCATAGTGGTGGTATTGCAATTTATGTTAACTGCAGCTTCGCTGTAAGCGAAATTGAAAATTCTCAAAGATTTGCTATAAAACATTCAGAACAACTCTGGCTCAAACTCACTTTAAATCACGAAACTCTTTTTATCAGTTGTATCTATCACCCACCAACTAGTGGAATAAAATCTTTTAATGTAATTGTTAACACTATTTCTTATGCCAAATCGTTTATTAAAAAAAAAAAGTTTGCAGACTTTATAACCGGTGATTTTATCTTCCCGAATATCAAATGGAAAAAAGGGTGGATATACACCTCAAACACTGAAACCAGTTTAGATACAAAATTTTTTAACATTATCAACAGTCTATATCTACATCAACATGTTACTATACCAACCTTTATTCAATCCAACAGGTCTTCAAAAAATATTCTTGACCTAATAATCTGCTAATCAGCTGATCGCACAAATGAGATTGTTGTTGGGTTGCCATTAGGAAATAGTTCACAAGGTCACTGTACTCTATCCTGGCATTATCAATTAGCTAATAACTAAACCAACTTTAATCATTTTACTAGTTCAAAATTTATTTATAATAAAGGAAATTATATTAAATTTAACAATTACCTGTCTAAACAGAGGTGTGAAAATCTATTTAAAAACTTAAACGCCAATGAAAGCTACCAAATTTTCTGCAATATTTACAACAAAGGTTGAAAAATTTTTATTCCATTCATCCATTTAAAATAAAATAAACGACGATTAATCTGGGTAACAAAAAAACATTTATTACTAGTTAAACAAAAGAAAGAACTCTGGTTTCTCAACTGTAAAAGCAAATAGAATATTATCTCGCTGGCTAATAATTACAAGTTCACTCGAAATCTTGTAAGAAAAGAGACTAGAGCTGCAATTTGTTCATTTGAAGAAAACCTATTTAAAGACAAGAACAATCCAAAAAGACTCTTGCCTACATTAATAGCAAACGTACTGTAATAATCATATCAAAACATTGCATTCTCCATCCGGTGAAATCTGTACCGATAGATTTTTGATTGCCAATACATTGAACAAGGTATTCCAATCTGTCTTTACTATTGAGCCTCATAATCAAAATCTACCTCTGTTAGCTAATCACTCATCTACCTCTCTCTTAAACTTTTCATTTGATTCTGAATCTGTTCAAAAACACCTTGAGGCACTTATAGTTTTTATACCCGCCATTTTTTAGTACTTGTTCATGTACCATATTTAACAAATCTATTTAAATTACATTATATTATATTGTAAACATTAGCATTTAGCTAACTCCATCGAGGTCAAAAAGCAGCCGAAGCCACTCGAGACATATGCAGTGTGTACGGGGAAGGTGTCTTAGGTGTGTCTACTGCACAAAAATGGTTCGCAAAGTTTAAAAATAGCAACTTTGACCTTGAAGACACGCCTCGAAGCGAACGACCTGCAGAACTCAACGAAGAGCATCTGAAGGCACTATTGAAGGAAGATGGTCGCCAAACAACTCGTGAATTGGCTGAAAAAATGAACATCAGTGCAATGACAATCTCTCACCACCTTCAATCAATTGGTTTTACTCAAAAACTCGGAGCATGGGTACCTCACGAGCTCAACGAAGAAAACAAAGAAAAACGCCTTCAAATTGCTGCTCAACATCTTGCCCGCCACTGAGCAACACATGGACACAAACAGCGCTTTTTGTATCGAATCATCACGGGAGATGGGAAATGGTGTCTGTACATCAATGTGAAGCAAAGAAAGGAGTGGGTGGCCCCAGGAGAGACGCCGAAGCCGAGAGTCAAGCAAGATCTTCACCCAAAAAAGGCCATGATCTGCGTTTGGTGGGACTGGGAAGGCATGGTGCACTGGGAAATGCTCGAACGAAACGGCACTGTCAACAAGGAGGTCCAAAAGCTTGAATGGGAGGTTCTTCAGGATTCACCGTACTCTACTACGATGAGATGCTATGATGAGTCTAATAGCTTCGATACTACGATGAGATGCTATGATGAGTCTAATAGCTTCGATACTACGATGAGATGCTATGATGAGTCTAATAGCTTCGATACTACGATGAGATGCTATGATGAGTCTAATAGCTTCGATACTACGATGAGATGCTATGATGAGTCTAATAGCTTCGATACTACGATGAGATGCTATGATGAGTCTAATAGCTTCGATACTACGATGAGATGCTATGATGAGTCTAATAGCTTTGATACTACGATGAGATGCTATGATGAGTCTAATAGCTTCGATAGCTACAATGAGGTATTGAGTCTGATAGCTTAAACATGTAACAGAATCATCTAACATTAAAGCAAATAAATCATTCTTATTTGATGGTTTTTGACCTTTAAATTGACGATCTAGGTCAAGGTCAAACTAGGTTTTCGCATAAATGCTCAATTGGATTGAGCTCATAACTTTGTGATAGTCACTCGAGAACGCAAATTTTTTCGCTGGTAAAGAAATTCTTAACAGAAACTGGAGTATGTTTTGGATCATTGTCTTTTTGAAATATCCATTCTTGTGCCATTTTATATTTGCAAATGGAGAAATGCAGTTGCAAATAATTGATTACATCAAGTTTAGACTTGATTAGCTTATAATAAAACCGGCTTAATAAAACCAGCTTATTAAAAACAGCTGGAAGATATCTGAATTTGTGTAAATAAACAATGCTTTACCCATCAATACTCAGTTACAAACTGATCACGAGCAGTATCTAGTACCTTTTCAGCAATGTCAATTTTATTAGGAGGGTTATATCCTATCAATAAATCAATAAATAATAATTAAAATCAAACCATTAAATTTTAATGTAAATTTTATGTCTGATTTAAAACCATGATTTAAACCAACCCTGTTAGAGATTATTATTATAACTAGAACTAAATACTAAATACAGATGTTAACTAAAGTTATTTTGATATATTTCTTAAATCCCCTAATAACTTACACAATACTTCGATATGATATTTCATAAATACAGGATGCATAGAAACATCTTCTATAGCGCCCTGTATAACTTTCCTAGTATAACTTATAGCATCTTATTGTAGTATTATTATTCTAGTATGTAGCATTTCAAGGCATAATTTATACTAAATTCCAATATGACCATATCTTCATAATTATAAAATATTATTAATGATTACTTTAAAAATACATTTATAAATAAAAAAGTAAATTCTCACCAAAAAAATAAAAGACCCAAGGCCATCCATAATTATGAGCAATCAATCCTGATAAAGGCATTCCAAGTACTGTACCAGCAAAAGGTCCTAAAGCAAAAACCATTAATTAAAAAACATAGCAAATTGGTTATTTATTATATATATATAAAGTTACATATAGTAACATATATTAGGATTAACTAATTAAAGTAAAAAGCTCTATATCAAGTTAAAACTTAAATTAAACAGTAAGAAGACAAGAGATTTCAGCAAATACATCAACTGAGAGTTTGGGTTAGGAAAGATAATATATGATTTAAAAAAAAATTAAATAATGAAAAAACCTTTTCAAAAAGTATTTACTAAACTCTACTAGTTTCCATATTTTCAAAAAACATGCAGGACAACTAAAGAATACTTTTTGAATACAAGAAAAAATTTTGCAAAGAAGAAAAAACAAGCTTTTAGAATTTTTTTTCTTTTCTAAAAACCTTCTTTAATTTCAAAAAACTTTTTTGATAAGTAGTTAATTCTATCTCAATGCTTATTAACATTATCACATTTTAAACAAAACATAACAAAAATGCATGTTTCAATGCATTTTAAACAAAACATAACAAGGGTAAACTGGTATATATTTATATATATAAGGGTACCTCGGCATCGCTCTTGGTAACCATCGGCCAATGCCAATTGTTTAAAAAAGTCAGATTTTTTAATTTTATATTTCTATATTGTATTATACGGTGCACTTCTAATATATATACATATATATATATATATATATATATATATATATATATATATATATATATATATATATATATATATATATATATATATATATATATATAACCCTCGGAATTAGAAAAAATGAGGTCAGCAATAATTTGCCGACCTCAATCTTTTAGAGGTCAGCATCAGGTTTAGAAACGTGGTTGGCATTTTTTTGCTGACCTCAAACAGTTAGGTATGTCGACCTTAATTCCAAGGGCTATATATATATATATATATATATATATATATTATATATATATATATATATATATATATATATATATATATATATATATATATATATATATATATATATATATATATATATATATATATACATATATATATATAAATTAGTAGAAGCCACTTACCAATTATTTTTTTTTACACAATGTTTTATCAATTAAGACTTTTTAGAAATCAGACACATAACTTTAATACCTGAAAAAGAAATTGTAGCTAACTTGCTTCTTTCCAAAGGTGGAGCCCATTTACTCCACAAAGCATGTACACATGGAAATGTAAACCCCTAAATATCAATTAAAAATAAATTAACATTTGAGTATAAATAACTGAGTATATTATATTTGATATATTAAAATATATAAAAATTTGAGTTTAAGTAACTAAATAAGTCAGTTATTTCAGTAACTCATCAAATTTATATTATGTCAATCTATACATTTATATATATATATATATATATATATATATATATATATATATATATATATATATATATATATATATATATATATATATAGGGCTGGAAATAATGAAAAAATTTTCTATCGGACAATTTGATAATAATAAAGACTCAAGTTTGCCGGACATGTCCGATAAATATAAAAGAAGTGCGATCAAACGCTATTCCTGAATACGCATAAAATATTTTGCTTTTATAATAATGTAATAAAATCTTCTACTATAAAAGCTCTATATTTAAAGCTTCTATAAGCTTTAAATTAACTATTATGTTAAAATTTTTATAAAATATATTTAAAAGGGGTTTTAAAAGCTAAAATATTTGTTTAAAATTTATAAAAACAATTGTACAAAAAATGAAATAAATACTAAACTATAAATTTAAATTAATTTAAACTAATTGCAACGTTTTAATATAAATAATAAAAAACGAGCAACTTGATTCAAAAAAAATAAAATGCTTTGGTGTCTTTTAAAAAATAAATTACCTTGAAAAAATGACATACTTTATTAATGTAGCTGTGTATTCAACTTTAATTTTTTTTTTTTTGTATAAAAAATAAAAAGTTCTAAAAATTAAGTTTATATACAACACTTAATTTATTAATGACTATGGAACAACTAAAATGATTAGAAAATAAATGCACATAAAATATGTTGGACAAAAGAAATGCTCATAAAATATGTGTTGTATCAATCAAACTAGTAAGTAAAATTAAAAAATTTTTAAATCCACTTTCATCCTAGAAATAAAAAAATATAAAATAACAGATGTCTTTCCATCAACAAAGCTTTGTAGTTGTTTGAAAAATCAAGGAAAATCCTACTGTCAGATCCAAAAAGGAACAGGAAATCTTTTTAAAACAGTGTCCTCAATTGCTAGTGTAGCTGGTAGAGGACAAAAACACAAGACCACCAATGCAATAGATCAAAATATCATCATTAATGTGAAAAAAATAGATTTATTTCAGCAGCTAAATTAGCTTTCAAAATTCAAGAAGATCATAAAATCACAGTGACTCCTCACTGTGATGTTTTGATCTTCTTGAATTTGATGAAATTGATGAAACAATCAGATATCGTATTAGAGAGTAAAGATTTAGAGGTAGAGTAGTTCGAAAAAAACCTTTTTTAACTTCTAAACAAATGGAATGTCAATTGGAATTTGCAAAGAAGTATGAAAAAATGCTCACATCATGTTGGAGAAAAATTTTTGGTAAGATAAGTCAAATTACAACCTCATCTTATCAGATGGAGTCCAAAAAGTTTGGCAAAAAAAAGAAGATTATAAATTGCGTTATTTGCGAGGTAGTGTAAAGCATAGAGGAGGAAATGTGATGGTTTGGTGTAATATGAGTTGGAAAGAAGTGGGGAAATTGACATTTAATTGCAAAGTATTGCAAAGTTCTCAAAACCAACTTGTAACCATCTACTAAAAGACTGAGATATAATACTAATCCAAAACATACTGCTAAGAAAACAAAGGTATACTTTAACACAAATAACATCAATATTTTGGAATGGCCATTTCAAAGTCCGGACTTGAATCCAATAGAAAATTTGTGGTATTTGTTTGGAGAGAAAAATTGTGGACCGAGCATTTAGACACAAAGACGACTTGAAAGAAGCTATAATGAGTGCATGGGATAATATAACAAGAGAAGAGACCCAAAATATAGTCAACAAAATGCCAAATTATCTAGCTGAGGCTATCAAGGCCAAAAAAGGCCCCACTCAATATTAATTTCTATGAAATTTGATCAACATGACATTATTTTTGAACTATAAGATTATTTTTTTTGCAGTCAATTTTATGTATCATTAGATCAGTTGTATAAAACTCAATAGGTTTAAAAAACAATTCACCCATACACAAATAAATTGTTAAAACGATAATTGATAAGATATCTAAAAAAAACTTTTCTATATTTTAACGGACAACTCATATTTTTGATGCAATCTTTAAAATTATGATTTTTTTTAAGTGTACAATTTTTTGCATACTATACACAAAAATTCATATGCTTATTTTATGTAAGAACAAGTATATATTAATTTATAATAAAAACTCAAAGAAAGTTCTTTTAAATTTTCTTAAATTTAGTGTTTATTAGTGTACAATGTACACAAAGATGAAAGACAAAAAAAACCATGAGATTTTAATTACAAAAAAGTAAAAAATTTATTTTTATTGATGAGGCATAAAAATAATTTACTTATTGATGAGCATAGCAAATAACTTACTTTGTTTGTTTACCAAATAATTATAGTTTTATATAATTTATTTTATTTCTTTAATAACTTTTTTTAAGAAATAAATTATTTAAAACTACAATATAACCATCAGGTTTTGCCATAAAGAACCGTTATTGAAGAAATTAGAAACTTGTTTAAAAGCAAGTTAAAAAAGTTACTTTATCGAGCTCGACACTTTCTTACTCCGTATTCTATTCTCAATCTCTATAAATCTCAAATCCAGCCTTGTATAAAATACTGTTGCCATATCGGGGCAGACCTTCTAATGATGCCCTTTCTCTTTTAGACAAGGTGCAAAAACGCATTGCAAACATCGTTGAACCTGCTCTTGCAGCCAACCTTCAACCATTATCACATCGTTGTAATGTGGCTTTTCTTCCTCTTTTCTACAAATACTATAATGGGCACAGCTTTAAAGAGCTAGCCTCTCTAGTGTCATCTACTAAAATTTATTCTCATGTTACTTGTCATTCAATTAAGTCTCATCCTTGTGACTGTTCCTAAGTACTCCAAAAACTCTTATTCTACTAGTTTTTTTCATCGAATATCAGCTCTTTGGAATTTGCTTCCTTCATCTTGCTTTCTTGATTCAAATAACTTGCAATCTTTTAAGTCCTCTGTTAATCTTTATCTTGCTCTACAATCTTCATCTTTTCTCTTCCTGTAACTTCCAATTCTAATTAGTGGTTGCTTGCAGCCTTGTTGGAAACGAAGATAGAAAAAAAAACGTACTGCAAACCATAGGAACAAATTAGCCCATGATGTAATTAATGTATTTAATAAATTAATATTATTTAATAAACTCTTTTGAAAGTATTTTTATGATACTACTTCGGCTATCAGCAAATGAAAATCTGGTGTTGCTTTCCTTCATCAATATTAAAATTTTTTATGTATAAGTTTCGTTGATTATTGCAATGAATAAAATAAAAATTTAAAATTTTTTAGCTTTCAGCTGCAGTCCCGCTAGATGAAAGATCTTGCTTTACAACGGACACCAGGTGTTCAGCTATGGACATTGTTGCTATAAAACTAATTGCAAAATGACCTCAGGAAATTACTGCTGCTTTAAAGTCATTGTTTTACCTTCAACCAAAACATCGACTCATGATGAACACATTACTCGTCTTGCCAATGAAACAGAATTTTTTGTTAAGCCAATGTACAGTTATACAAGTTAATGAGTTTTTATTTTCAAGATAAATTATTTATAACCTTTCAAAAAAGTTGTATTAAAATTCATTACAAAATTTAAAATTTATTGGATGAAGGCGCCAAAATATACTTTTCACCCACCTTCAAAATGTCTAGCGCCAGGCCTGTATATATACGTAAATATATATACACATATATATACATATATATATATATATATATATATATATATATATATATATATATATATATATATATATACATATTATATACATATATATATACACATATATATATACATATATATATACATATTTAATATATACATATATATATATATATATACATATATTTATACATACATATATATATATATACATATATATACATACATATATATATATACATATATATATATACATACATATATATACATATATACATACATATATATATACGTATATATATACATACATTTATATATATATACATATATACATATACATACATATATATATATATATATATACATATATACATTTACATATATGTGTGTATATATATATATATATATATATATATATATATATATATATATATACACAATGTGAAACATTGGCATCCCCCAGACTGTTTTTGAGACCCGATTTATGGGGGCAAGCAACTATTGTTCATTTTTACTGAAAAAAATAAACAATGGAGTGTTGCCCTCAAGGTCTCAAGAATGGTGTGCGGGGTGGCCATGTCCGCCACTTATTTCAACCCCTGCATATATATATATATATATATATATATATATATATATATATATATATATATATATATATATATATATATATATATATATATATATATATATATATATATATATATATATATATATATATATATATATATATATAACATTAGGTTAATAGTAATATATTCTACTTATTTGAATTTATAAAATCAATACTTTAATCAATAACTAAGTATTTATGCGCACAAAAACTGATAACTTCATACTGAAATAGTCATGCAAGACAACTTCAGTTCATACTGAGGGCTTGTGTAAGTTATTTATAAATATTTATAGAAATTATTTATAAAATTTGATATTTATGTATTCTTTTCCAAACACTTGTTTTGATGACATAACCAGAGTAGCTAAAAACAGTATGTCACAGATGACTCACACCTTAATGCACAGGCATAAATTTAGCATCGCCAGCATCAATCACACCTTAGCATAATTTAGACATAGACCTTTCACACACATTAAAACTTAATATCACTTGTAAAATTTAAAATGCTACAAAAATAATATTGATGAGTATATCACCAAATAAAATAAAATAAAACTTTATGTAAATAATTTGCAACAAAATACACAGTAATTAAATAACAACAATTTTTTATTATAAATAACTTCTTGCTTTTTTATGTTTACAAACTGCAGTTTTCTAATGATTTATAACAATTCTTTTTAGTAAAAGAAAAAATTATCAAGAAACCAATTTATCAAAGACATTGCCTTTGTAAAATTTGAAAAAATTCAAATTTTACAAAGGCAATGTAAAATTATTATTTTCAAGACTATTAAAATCACTGAACCAGCTGTCTGTATTCATAAACATTTGAACTACAAGCTAAATATATACTTACTAAACTTAAGAAAATATTTATGGATTTGAATATAAAACCATCATGGGATGCATGTTCTACAACTATTTAAATGAAAATACTTTCAAATTTAAATGCAAATACCTTCAAAACAGGAAAAGAAAAAGACAAGAGTAAAAACCTGTGAATTAAATATGAAATATTAGTTTCCATCATCCTAGTAAGGCAACAATGCCTTGTTATCAAAAGTTTATATCTGCTGCTTACTAGATAAAGAAAGATACAAAACTGGTTGACAGAAAATTATTTATTTATTACACATTAGAATTTGTTAAATTAAATTAAAAGTATTTATTGATAAATAAAAATAAAAAAAAAAACACTTTTGTTATATAAATAAACTTGTCATATAACCTTTAAAAAGTTTTAATCTGAATATGCTTTTTAAGCTTAAAGAAAAATTAAAAAAAAATAACCAAATGCAGTTCAACCTTACTTCAAAAAGACCTTCAAGTATTCTAACAAGAATCAACACAGAAGGATGTAAACGTGCTGCAAGAGGGGTAACCAAAGTAAATAGCGCAGTCATAAGAATGCCACCACCAAACAAATTTTTCCCTCCATACTTCGCAGCCAACCATCCACCAGGTATTTGAGTAAAGATGTAGCCATAAAAGAATGAACTTAGTATTATACCTAAAAAAACAAGTTATCAGAAATTAAAACTCAAAAACCATAAAAAATATAGAAGTATGATAAACAAAAAATAAAAAAAGAATTATAATTAAAAAATATTATAAAATTTTATGTATTAAAGGACATGACAAAACAAAAATAATACAGCAATAATGTAACATGTATAATAAAATAGTCTTGTCTTCTTTAACTAGTTTAAAATAAAATCTAGTATCATTTTTTCAGCTCTCTTATTTTTTTATTATCAGTTAAAAAAAACTGTTTAATTTTTTTCTGTACCAAAAATGATATCAAAAAATAAGAAAAATTAAATCAGACTATTTTGTGCAAGAAAAAAAAATCAGTTTTAAGATTCCCCACTCTTGCTGATCATTGTAAAAAAAATCAGTTTAAGATTCCCCTCTCTTGCTGATCATCGTAAAAAATTTAAATTTTTTACGATGATATCAAAAAATGATATCAAAAAATAAGAAAAAATGATATCAAAAAATAAGAAAAATTAAATCAGACTATTTTGTGCAAGAAAAAAAAAGTTTTAAGATTCCCTACTAATGCTGATCATCGTAAAAAAAATTATGCAATCATTGTATGACAATAGGTGTATGATGATAACACAACTTTTTTACACACATGATCTATAGAATAAACTTTTTTATATTTAGAAATACTTTGACAAGATAAAATCTGAACACCAAGGCTTGTCCTGAAAAAGATCATTGTTGAGTAATTTAAAGCAGAATGAATAGAAAGACTCAGGTTGAATCAAAAACCAGACATGCTTGACAATTTAATTTTCTAGAAGATTCTCAGACTGTTTTTTAAAAGCTTTTGCAATCTTTTCCTGAGTGGTGTGCTAACATATTGGTTGTTTGGATTATTGTAATGCTAAGGCAGACTTTTAGGAAACTGCTCCTTCCATCTATTTCCAGTTTTACCATTTAATCAGAATTTTTTTGCTTTTCTGCTACAAAGACCTTCTTCGTAGATGAAATAATGCAATGAAGATGATAAAAACCAAAAATATATTGACAGCTGTAGAAGAGAATTTAACTAGAAAGTTTACATCTCTTTGTCTATATGCTTCCAATATTGTTTATTTGGCCAGGTTTAGGATTGGTTTGGAATTTGCTATTATGCAAATACTAGATGGGTTAATATAGAAAACTTTGGCCAAGTTTCTTTGTCACAGTTTGTTTAAAAATTAAGTTTTATGTAAAAGTATATACTTTATACTTATACAGTTTGTTTAAAAATTAAGTTTCATTTAAGAATATATACTTTATACCATAGCTGTGGAGTCGGAGATGCGGAGTCGCTACATTTTTAGCAGAGTCGGAATCGCTTAACAAAATTGCGACTGCGACTCCAATAGTAAAACTTCTAGGTATTGCACGTGCATGTACAAAACATTCAACTAACCTTATGTTCATACTAAACCTCAAAGAACGTTTCATAAATTTGTCAAAAAAGAAATTATCAACTTATCGCATAATATTTTCGAAAGAATTCAAAGAATTTTTTTAAAATTTTGCTTTGGAGTTGGAGTCGGAGTTGGAGTCGGAGTTGTACTTAAAAAATTTCAACAACTGGAGTCGAAGTCATTACTTTTTTTTTACGACTCCACACCCCTACTTTATACTTATAAGAATATATACTTTATACGAATATATACTATATACTTAACATAAAATTTATACGCGGTAGTGGTATAGTGGTAGAGCGCTCGCTTCATAAGCAAGAGGTTCCGAGTTCAATCCCTACCATGTCCCTGGTAGTACCACGCTCAACTTGTTTCTCCATGCAGCGGCCTTGTTCGTCAAGGTTCGTGTTTCAGAGTTATAGTGTTGAGAGAGGGTTATAACTACAATTAAGTAGCCTCCTCATCTGTAGTGACCTTCTTGGCCTTGGGGAGGTAAATTAAAAAAAAAAGAAAGCATTTATCAGCGAATGGAAAATTTTATTTAAAAAATATCTGCGTTTTATTAGTTTCATAACTTTTGATGAAAAAAGAATTAAAAAATTGGCATAAATTGTTTTTCTAATTTGCGATGGAAACTGTTTAATATTTTCTGAACCAGAAATATATTATTAGGGCAAATTATGCCTCATGTTATTTGTTTACGCTCTAGTAACTGAAATGTCTAAAATGTCTAATTATTTTTTGAAACTGAAACTGAAATGTCTAAAATGTCTAATTATTTTTTGAAACTGAAACTAAAATGTCTAATTATTTTTTGAAACTGAAACTGAAATGTTTAAAATGTCTAATTATTTTTTGAAACTGAAACTGAAATGTCTAAAATTTTTTGAAACTGAAACTGAAATGTCTAAAATGTCTAATTATTTTTTAAAAAATGTTTATAAAAAATCGGTGTAATAGTGTAATGCTTATCAGCATGAAAATATCATTGCAAGTGAGTTTTTTATTTGAAATTTAATAAAGTGTGAAGGAAAGGAAAGACAGTGACTATCCTATCTAATTAATAGATTCACAGATAAGCCAAAGACTTTCAAAATGGAATGATCAATATAGAAAACATGGTTCAAGAAAACTCGCTGTTTCTTGTAGCAGTTTATTAAGCATAGCAACATGCTTTCGGAGAGTGAAGACAAGGTTTGTAGCCTATTATTTTACAACCTTATCTATATAATTTTATAAAATACATTTTCAAATAATATATAAATAAAAATCTTTGATTGTAGTGAATTCTTCTGAAGAACAAACTCAGATCCAAACTACAGGACAAACTAATCTTTACTGTTAATTCGTAAGAGAAGACTTAATAATATTTAGAGATAAAGATATAAGAGACATTTTTGCCTGTGATCTGAGAGCAGCATTACATGAGTATTGTGTTGGAATATCTTGAGGTTTTTTCTATCAAATAAAAAAAAACAAAAAAGAAACTGCAATTGGCTAACTCTTGCTTCAAAAATTATGATTGTTTATGCATTTGAACTGCATCACAAAGTATATAATCCAGGCTTATTGTTCTATGTGGTTTTCTGTAAAGTTCAGGGCATTACAAAATACGCCCATATCTCTTCATAAAACAATAGAGTCAGTCAAAAAACAGGTTGGCAGATTTCAAATGATTGTGTTGTATAGTCTTAAGGGTAACCCCTTCTGTTGCTATTACAGACAGTTTTACCCTTGCACTTTAAAGCTGATGTTTGGAACAGCAAGGTAAGATTTTTTTAATACAGCCCTCAGTAACTTTTTCTCACTGTTATCTTTTTTTCAATCAGTAGAAAGACCTATTAAAATCTAAAAAAACATGCTGGCTATGAAATTTAACAACTAAATTCCAGGACATTCCAGGGCTTATCATTGCATATTCCAGGAAATTTAAACTCTATTAAGTTAATATTATTAACACTTTTAATTTTTTTTCTCCATATTTATTGAGTAATAAAAGTTAATATAAATGTTTTTACAACTTTGAAATAATTGATTGTCAACTAAACTGAATAATATACTTTTTAAAGTCTACCAAAATCGACTAATAAATTTTTAACAGAAAAGTTAAATTTAATTTAGTTGAAATTTGAATAAAGTATTTTAAACCATTGAAAAATAAATTTTATTAAAAATAATTTGTTTATTTCATGATTTTTTTTTTTTTTTTTTTTTTTTTTTTTGAAAATCTATATGCTGGGAGCAACATTGATAAATAGAACTCAATGTCCAGTTATTTAAGCAGAGTATACTAAAATGTCCTGGACTAAAATGTCCAGTTATTTAAGCAGAGAGCTTAAATAACTGGACATTTTACAGCTTCAAAAAAAAAATTTTGATATCGTTCGTAAAAATAAATAGTTTAACTAGAGCTTCTACTAGAGATGCTTAAGTTCAACTTCTCTAAAGTTCAACTTCTCTAAAGTTTAACTTCTCTAAAGTTCAACTTCTCTAAAGTTTAACTTCTCTAAAGTTTAACTTCTCTAAAGTTTAACTTCTCTAAAGTTCAACTTCTCTAAAGTTCAACTTCTCTAAAGTTTAACTTCTCTAAAGTTTAACTTCTCTAAAGTTTAACTTCTCTAAAGTTTAACTTTTCTAAAGTTTAACTTCTCTAAAGTTTAACTTCTCTAAAGTTCAACTTCTCTAAAGTTCAACTTCTCTAAAGTTTAACTTCTCTAAAGTTTAACTTCTCTAAAGTTTAATTTCTCTAAAGTTTAACTTTTCTAAAACTTTTCTAAGGCCACCATGAAAATGTTTAAAAAAAGGGTAAAAACACAATTTTATTCTGGTTAAAAACCAGAGCAAAACTGAAAACAAGAAATATAGAAAACTATAATAACTCCAAATTGTCTGCTTATGTCTATGTTTATGCTTACATCCTTATATCTGCCTTATGTTGAGGCAGTAGCCTCATCCTTATGTTGAGGCAGTAGCTAAATATGGAGTAATAAAATTAAAAATTCATTATTCAAAATTATATTGTAATATATATGTAATATATAATACCCACCCTTATGCACCCTTACAACACAGCTCAAATACCTTGCAATCCTGAATCCCAATCAAATTCTGCTGGAACCTAGATTTTAAAAAGCATTAAAAATTAAATTGTATACATGTATATACACAAATACTTTCATATTAAAAAATGGATATAATTTGTTCAAAAAACAAACATGACCAAGTTAAAAAAAGCTAATGTTTAACTACTAAACTTAAGAAAAGTAGGAGGTCATAATTTGCCTCCATGATTCTTTAATTTATATCTTTAGTCATCTAAAATTCAAAATTCAAAAAAAAACTGTGTGCTTGGTCATACCTACATGCAAGCCTATCATATATTTATATTAGCTACTTTGACTTGGTCATGTTCATTTTAAGTACAAGTTTATTATGAACATTTATAAGTTCTGCTTCTTTAGGCACTTTTTGTTTCATTAAAAATTACTAACGCATATATATTAAATAAAATAAAACAATTAAATTTACAGTGTAGTGCGTGCCATTAGGAAACTGCTTTTCCAAAGATGATACCATTGCCACCATTGCAACACTAAGATTAACTCGCAAAGTATACACATTTACAAAGCCAGTAAATGTAAGGAAAGCTAAAAGATACCGTTTAGGCATGCATTTGCAACAACATGCCTCCAGTTTTGGCACATTCTTATGATCATCTTCATTTACAAATAACTCATTAGCTTCCATTGTTTATGCTTTGATCTGCAGCTTTCACTTGATTGATTAAACATTGTCTAAAAGTTAAAGGTTTGTTCAAAACTTTTGAAACTTGAAATAAAAAATGTTTGTTAAAAATAAATTTAAGATTATTCTTATAACATTGTGCTATAGTGCAGTGGCAAAAAAAAAATTTGTGAGAAATAGATACAAAGTTGAAACCACATAATTTCCTGATAATACCATTTATAACTTGCTTCTCAATGCATAGCCTATGCATGCCAAAATTTGTATTTTTTTTATCATCAAGTTGAGAGGTTGCAACAATATTAAATTAAAAGAAACAGTGAAATTTTTTTAAAAAATTACCTATATACTAATAGTAAGTGACCGGGTTGATATTTGACCGGGGCCGGGTTTGATAAAATATAGACAAGGCAGGCGGCCGGGTTTGTGAGCAGGGTTGCATACACATTTATGCATCCTGTAGTACATTTTTTTAAATTCAAAATTCTTGTTATATTTTGTATATATATGCATATATATACAAAATATAACATGATCATCATCACAATGATGATCATTATCATCATCATCATCATCATGATCACCATCACAATGATGATGATCATCACAATGATAATGATCACCACAATGATGGTGATCATCATTACAATGATGATGACGATGATCATCACATTATCATCATCATCATTATCATCATCATTATCATCATCATCATCATCAGGCTTTAGCCTTCCTCTTTTATGCTGTTTCTCTAATATAAACAATCTTGAGCATTTTTTTTTCTTAACTAAAGCTCATTCGTACAATATGTAAGGCACTCTCTTCAAGTTTTCTTACTTCTACCACTACCATTTTCTCTGAAGCTGCTACCTCTCTACATGCTGATACCTAAATTACTTTAATCTTTTCTAACAAACGTTGTTCAATATAATGATTTTTTAAATCTATCCAAGTTTATGCTATTTTTTTTTTGTCCAGCTAGAGTCACACCACACATCTATCTGATCATCTTCTCTTTCGGCAAATACTAATCCATATAAATACTAGAGTTTATATAACAATCAAAGGATATCGTATGCCAGCATCTAACAGCATATAACAAACAAATATACCAGCATCTAACAGCATATAACAAACAAATATACCAGCATCTAACAGCATATAACAAACAAATATACCAGCATCTAACAGCATATAACAAACAAATATACCAGCATCTAACAGCATATAACAAACAAATATACCAGCATCTAACAGCATATAACAAACAAATATACCAGCATCTAACAGCATATAACAAACAAATATACCAGCATCTAACAGCATATAACAAACAAATATACCAGCATCTAACAGCATATAACAAACAAATATACCAGCATCTAACAGCATATAACAAACAAATATAACAGCATCTAACAGCATATAACAAACAAATATACCAGCATCTAACAGCATATAACAAACAAATATACCAGCATCTAACAGCATATAACAAACAAATATACCAGCATCTAACAGCATATAACAAACAAATATACCAGCATCTAACAGCATATAACAAACAAATATACCAGCATCTAACAGCATATAACAAACAAATATACCAGCATCTAACAGCATATAACAAACAAATATACCAGCATCTAACAGCATATAACAAACAAATATGTTGCTTGGAAGCTTTTATTCCTTCTAGAATAAAAGTTTGGAAGCTTTTATTACTTCTCTTCAATTTTAAGTAAATCCTCATTCTAATTCACATTTTTCACCATCTTGAGCAGTTGCTTTATTAAACATTGATCATTTTTTACAAGTACATCTCTCTTAAGAACTAATGTCCTTTTATTATTGCAAAAAGCTAATGGAAAAAGTCCTATCTGATTTTATTTAACTTAGCGATTTTTGTTAATTACTGAATGTAATTGTTTTCTGTGTATTAAAAATTTAACACACTTGTATTTTACTTAAAGTTTCATTTTCTACTTCTGCCGGATTAGTAACTACTTCGTCATAGTTCATAGTATCATAACTTATACAAGACATAGGTGATTTTGTTAGTTTATCAAATCTTGTATCTTATCTTGGATGTTAGGTTCTAGAGACTTTTGGTTAGCCTTCAACAGTGTCATTTACTAAAGTAAGTCTAATATTTAATCTCTAATTCATGAGTGTGATCTTTTTACTTCTCCCAAGAATAAAGTAGAGTTATTTGCAAAGAAATCTTACTCTATTTTGACTCTTGAATATAATGGCCACACTTTTCCTGGCAGATAAACAGATTAACCCATTCTTAAACATGGAAATCACTCTGGCAAAAATTGAAAAGCGTTCTCCAGAACTCTGTTCAATCATTGCTAATTTGTTAAAAAGTCCTAAATAAGTGGTTCCAATATTTCAAAACTCTAGAAAACACTTTGACCTCTCCAACTATCCTACGATTAGTCTTCACTCTGTTATTAGCTTCTTTATACAAAGATTTTGAGGTTATGAAATAATTTCTTTCTAACTGCAGTGGTAAAGTTATTCTTCAAGGCCTACCCTCTTCTTTATGTCAAGTAACTGTAAGAGTATCACAAAGTTCTATCTATGCTTCTGTATTGTTTCTTATCTACAATAACGATCTTCATGAAATCTAAACCGGCTCTATTTGCTGACAACTCAACTTTATACTCTTCTCTTGACAAAAAGTCTTCACTTTTTGATTGCTTAGAACAAGCAATCAAAAAAGATTTTTAATCTGATCACTCTTCTGTAACAGCCGAAGGCTTGCAATGGCTTGTGGATTTTAAAAGGCTTGCAATGGCTTGTGGATTTTAAAAGGCTTGCAATGGCTTGTGGATTTTAAAAGGCTTGTTGTGGCTTGTGGATTTTAAAAGGCTTGCAATGGCTTGTGGATTTTAAAAGGCTTGTTGTGGCTTGTGGATTTTAAAAGGCTTGCAATGGCTTGTGGATTTTAAAAGGCTTGCAGTGGCTTGTGGATTTTAAAAGGCTTGCAGTGGCTTGTGGATTTTAAAAGGCTTGCAATGGCTTGTGGATTTTAAAAGGCTTGCAGTGGCTTGTGGATTTTAAGTTTGGATTTAAAATCTGCAATTTTTGTTAGACAACAAAACTCATTTATTTACTGCAAAAAAGTATTGCAATATTGTACTATAATGACAAATAACAACCCTCTTATTCTCAGACAAAGTCTAAAAGCTTAATAGTGGGTGCTTGCAGTCTTGTTGGAACCAAATTAGAGTTTAAAAATAGATAAGTGTATGCCAGTATTTAATAAATAGTAAATGTAAGCATAAAATTGTAATATATTAGGTATTATAAATTTTTTTCTAACCCCTGCTAAATGCTATAAACTTGCCAGGGCCGGGGATGGGTTTGCAGAAAGTCTTATTTTTAGCCAGGATTTACTATATACCAACAAAGAAATAAAAAACTACAATGTGTACAAATTTCTTATCTATAGTGATTAAATTTATTCAGAACATAAATAAAATCATGTTTTGATTTAAAAACATTTGTTAGACAGCATTTTAAACTAATAAAAAAATAACAAAAACAAAAGCAATTCTATTTCAAATAAAGCAAACTTGCTTTGGTTAAAATAAACTTTAAAATTCTCATTGAGGAGAATCATATGAATAATAAATCCTTTATAATCTTTTTTTTTTTTTTTGAGTTAATAGACATTAATTACTTGTTCTTAAAAATGCCAATAAAAAATTAAAGGTCATTTAAATTAAACATGAGTTTGAAATATATGTTGAGTAAAATCTTAGACAATTTAAAATGTGTATACCAACATTTTCTTTACAATTTAAGTTTGGCAAAAATTTAAATGTTTTTGTTAAACCATACATCAAAATGCACTTTTTTTTGCGCATTACGTATTGATTGTAATAGTCAATATCTAATTCAACAAATTTTTTCTAAGCAGAATACTCAATACACGACTTAACATATTCATTTCACATCAAAAACAGTAATAAAGAAAATTATTTACAAAAGAAAATATTCCTATTTCAGCCATTTCATTGAGTATGGTTGTTACTTGTTAAAAAAAGATGTTGGTATATTATATAACATAATACACTAATTATAAAGATACAACAATTCTTTTCTTTCTAAAAACTAAAATGCATACAATGAGTTTTGATCGGTAAAGTTTAGTTTCTTAAAATGTTAGTTATCAAACAAAGTTATCAGTTAATTTAGTTAAAGATAAAGCTACTTGTCAGCTAAGTGCTTGATGCTGAGTTCTATTTTGTTATACTCTACCTGACCCAAATCTATGCTTTAATAAAACTGATCAAAGGCTTCACTGTCACACTTTTTCAGTGGAACTATTTTTAACACATGCTGTCAAATCTTTTTTTTTTTTATTTGCTGATTTAATTCAATAACCAAATTTACCCATGAGCTTAGGCCCAAATTGACTGTGGCTTTAGCTATCTGTCCTTGATACCAGAGAAAAAAGTTAAGAAACATTTAAAACCACAGCAGCAGCATAAAAGATCGAGTTAAGCTTGTGATAAAATTGTTTTTTTACATTTTTTATCAATAATTTGCAAATTTTTTTTTTGTCTTTCAGGCCTGTAGGCAGGATTTTTTATGGGAGGGTGTGAAATTTGAAAAAGTGGACCATTTTTACAACATATCAAATATATTGCTTCCAAAATAATACACAAATATAAACTTTATAATGACACACAAACTTAATAAGCACCGACACTGAATTTGTGTGAAGTCAAATAATTTCAGTCAAAACAGATCGTAATTGTAGACGCCGAGAATATTTTTATGATAATATATCAACAATTCTCTCTTCGTCGATGACTTTACCATAGTGGATATGCATTAATGCAAATGCAGAGAGTCTTTCTTGCTTCATACTTGCTATTGAATATGTATAGAGCCTGCGCAATGCACTAGCACTACGCTAACATTCGCAACTGGTCGCTAGGATTGAACAATAAATTTTTAGAAGAGTAAAAATGTTTGGGAATAACTCTTCGTCGCATTCTTTTAATGCTTGTGCTGCAGTTGAAAGACA